GCAAACACCTAAAAAATTCCTCTCTACTTTTGGTAATACGCATCTATTGTTCATAATTGTGCTACACATGACCAAATGACTGCTATTACTCATGTCAAAGAAGGCCATAAAGTGCTGAACGCAGAACTGAATCTCAGGCTTTTCTGCTCAAGAGGACTTGTTTCCACGTGCAGAGCAGAAACACAGATACCTAAGCTACAAATCTACCAGCAGTCCATTAAATAGAAGGGCTTAAGAGCACTACGTATGATCAAAGTCTCCCCTCTCAATGCTTCCAACAAATGGGCAAGGTGACTTGATGCTTCTTGGAGGAAAACATCAGACTTTTGGCCACCTTCTTATGTCATAAAGGAATAAAATAGTTTCTAGCACTCCCGTACTTCCATCCTTACCTGCACATAAACACAAGTTATTAACTAATGATACTACTAATGACAGTTCCTCTGTACTTGACCATCACTAACTAGAATATTAGGACACAGGAATCGGGTACAGTAGGAAAGGTGAATGATTGATAAAATGGGAGAAAAGATCAGGTATGCACAAGTCACCAGAACATTTCCATAAGCTAATTGTTGTCATACAGTTAATAAAACTACAGTGGTACAAGATGTAGCATCAGAACTTCATTCCGTGAAATGCCCAACTCCAAGGGACAGGCAGCAGATTCAGCAGGAAGCAAAGCAGACTTTGGGAACGACTTCAAGAGACAGACGCTGGACAGATGAGATCTTGGCAAAAAATCAAGAATACAAGAAAGGAGGTTAGAAAGGAATGTCAAGTATTAAACAGAAAGCTCTATAAGTTAACACCAAAGAGCTTACAACTGAAATGAGTATCTTACATAAGAGACATCACTAATAGCAAGAAGTAGAAAATACAGTCTATAGAAAAACACCTCCATGCAATTGGAAAGTATCAACAAAAAGGGCACATACATCAAGTAAATAAAACAGAAGAGACAGCAGTAAGTGCCAAGGGTGGCAGACAGAGCAGAACGTACAAAACAAGAAGCATGTCTGGGATTAAGCCACAAACAAATCACCTGTGACCTCTGAGCAGTTCAGTGAATTCAAACACCAGAACGAAGAGACCAGTGAAAGTGTGGGTGGACATAAACTCAAGACAGTACAAAAATACACCACTAAATATTTTGAAAGAACTGAGAACAGGATGTAGGACTGCAGTTAAAGGGCAACTTATGCTGTGAAGAACACATTTCTAATCAGATTTCTGAAACAAGCATGTATTTCCAATGAAAAGAAAAGGAATAAAAATAGTTCATACAAAATAGAGGCAGAACTTAAGGGGGGGTTACAAACAGCAGCAAGTGTAGGCAATTAAGTTAAAAGGAAAGGATTGTGACATTTAGCAGCAGAAAGTAGGTAGGAGACTTCTAAATCTTAAGAAGGATTGCAGTAAAGAGTTACAGCTATTTTTAAGCGCACTTGTTTGATGCACAGCTAACACAGTTATTCAACATCAGCCTACTCTGACATTTTAAGGAAGCACTGAATTTTCAAAACACATTGTTTTAAATTCCTGCAGGAGAAATTTTAATGTACTTATAATTCACTTTTACCTTTTTATCCCTGCCATCTGGAAACAGTTATGGCTGTTAAAACCTTCCGCTACCAGGAGAGAAGAGGAGGGAAAACAAAACAGAAAAAACCAAGCAGGTTTCATACAGCCTCCTCCATACCAGGAAGTCAATGCAAACTGGGAATGATTTGCTACCAGCTCTTAACCTTCACCTGAGAGAGCTTATTTTAGGATTGAGTGGCAAGCTGTAGCTGTAGAACATAAGAATGAGGGGGAAATAGAAAACTGTGGCTCGTTCCCATTTGCAGTTATAATGTTTAAACCTCAAATGACTTAGGAAAAAAAAAAAAAAAAAGTAAAAAGCAAAACTTTATCAGCAGGTTAGTTGTTCATTTGTTGTATCAGCCTCTCACCTTATATTTTCAGTGTTATACCAGTTAAAAGCGTGTGGTATGGAGCCCATCTTTAGTAAAGTCTGAAACATCACATCTAACATTAATTGTTGTTAGGACGATCCTTCTGCCCTTGTTCTGTCCCAAATAAACCCACTTGACACATGTGTTAAAAGCAAACTGATACATTATAGAGATGCTGTATGTGAACTTCATGCAGTAAAAAAAAAAAAAAGAACCTCACATTACCAACAGAACTGAGAAAGAAGATAGCCCTAACATCCCAGCAACCTAACTGCCAGGATTCTTAAAGAGCAAACTCAATTATGCTCGTTCACATATAGCTCCAGAGCTTTTCTTAGTTTGGCATCCATGTCCTGTCACTATTACAAACTCCAACATCATCTGCATGTGCACCTTCTGCTGCCCTGAGACAACCCTGGAGCTAAAGAAAGGCTGATCCTGCCTCAATACCAGAATTTCACACTACGGCTGTCAGACTCCCTTTTTCCCAGTCCTCATCAATTACTTCAAGTAACTAGATGCACTAGATTCACCCCTAAGCACTTTTTATCCAAGAGCAATTTAAAATAAAAAATGTGTATGTTATTAAACTTATTACTTTAACATCCAAATCAGAGCTATCATCCCACCTGAATGAGTACCAAGAAAATAGTTATCAGAGAGAGGAAAAGGAAATTGCATTTTAGAAAGAGATTCCACAAGCTAAATTGGCTCTGGCAACACTGAAAAAACCTTATCAGTTACTTCCTCCTTCCTTATTGTAGTCAAACTATTTGCATGAAACTTCTAAATGAAGTTCATATGGGCAGCAAGCCAGACAAATCGTTAAGGTGAAAAGAAAACAGCTCATCTGTGTGCAGTTGATTCTTGGCATTAGCTTTACACATGTGGACAGCTTGATCTTGAGCACCATAGAAAGACTTGGGTTGGAAGGGACTTCAAGGACCTTCAAGTTCTAACCCCTGCCACAGCAGGGTTGCCTGCTGCTAGATCAGGTTGCCAGGGCCCCATCCAACCTGGCCTCATGTGGTTTCACACCACGCATCCCAGCTGCCGACACCAAGGAACCACAAAGCTCAAAACCATGTTTTAATAATGCTGATAGCTAACCAAATCAGGACTGCTGTCAGGTTAGCAAGGGCATTTGACACATAGCTGTCACTTCTTGGCCATCTTATTCTGTGGAGGGGACAGTGCACAGCATTGCACCTTCCTGTGCATCACAGATACTATCAGCACCACCATTCGTTTACAATGCCAGCCTATTCTTAAAAAGCTTCTCATTCAGACACCAAAACCAGTGCTAAGACATGACCAAAAGTTCAGTACTGGGCCTCTGTTATGCTCTTGTTTCCTCCTGAACAACCTTCCTTTCTTTCGTTGTTAGCACAAGTACCTGTACAATTGCCCTTCTGAAATCCTGTTCTTGGCCCAGCCCAGCAGCTTCTAGTCCTTAAAGTCACACTTCTTTCAGTGAGGCTGCCTACGCTTCCACAGTCCCCATAACCGTATCTCAGTGCTCCATTGTTATTACTCGTAGACTACCTTCCCGAGATAGCAAACTATTATCATGCTAATAAAATGGTCTGAGGAACGAGAAGCACCGGAGGCCTGATATTTAGAAGCTTTTAATGCGCTGTTTAAATTAATGGTAACCAGAGGCACCCGGGTTCAGATGAGGTTAAAGTGTTACATGATTCTCACACACTGTAAGTCTCATCGCTGGGTCTCTTAAGTCTCAAATCATTGCCTTGACTGCAAAATCAACTTGATACATCTTACCACAGCCTAAACCTTGCCTCCAAAATATCCGCTGACTGCTAAACCTCACAGGGTAGCAAATGCACGTAAAAACACGACACCCTACAATGACCGAATGCCAAACGAGCATCACGTGGAGAACCAACACAAGCAAGCCTCCCGACGTCGCCTTTCTCCATCTGGAACCAGATGAAGCTCAGGTGCCCGGCAGCCTCCGCAGAGCCGTGAGCGGCACTGAGGGCTCACCGCGCCGCCTGAGGGGCTGCCCGTGCTGACAGGAGGGCTCCCGCCCTGCAAGCAGCCGTCCCTCACGCACGAAACGCAACCCACGGGGCCGGGAGCCTGCCCACAGGAGGCAGTCAGGAAAAAATAACGGGGCGTTGGGAGAAAGGCCCGGCCCCGTCTATCAGCCCCTCCCTTAGGGGCTCTTCAGAGGATGAACGGCCCCCGTTCGCTGCCCAGCTTGCGAGCGCGGGGCTGGCCACCGACATACAGATAAGGAAGGAGAAGAACCTCCCGGAGCGCTCGCTCCCGGACCCTGAGAAACACGAGGAGAGGAGAGGGCGGACCCCTCCTCCATCTTAGGCCCAGACACAACTTACCCGCCGGACGCCTCGGCGCGATGCTATTGGCGCGCTCCGCCGCCGCCTCGTCACGTGGGCGGACAAACCCGCCTCCTCGGCCCGCCGCTGCCGGCGCGCGGCTGTTGGGGGTGGCGGCGGAATGGCGTTTGCGCACGCGCCGGAGGAGTCGTGGCGGGGCGGGCGGGGCGAGGCGGTTCCGGGAGCGCGGGAAGCGGGCGGGAGAATGGGGTGCGCACGCGCCGGCTGGCGGGAGGAGGGGGAGGTGCCGTGACCGGCACCGCCCCGCCCCGCAGGAAACGGCGCCGCCCGGGCACCGCTCCGCGAGAGGGCGGGGAGGGGCGGCCGGGGCGGGAGGAACGGCGAGGCTGAGCGGAGCGCCGGCTGCTTCCGCGCCGTCGTCTCCGGGACACCGCGGGCCTGTCGCTCCAGCCGGACGCCGGGCCGGCGGCGGGGCAGCCCTCCTCCTATCCTTCATTCCGCGGGGCGGCGGCGCTCGCTCGGCCGCTCTTCTCCTCACGCTCCGTGCCGAGCAGCCCGGCCCGGCACTTGTTGCCGCCGCGATGGGCGCCGGGAGCCCGGCCGTTGCCGCTCAGTAGGCGCTGAGGCGGCCCTCCCCCGGCGCCTCGCCTCGGCTCGTCCCATCCCGGAGCGGCTGTGAGGGCAGCGCCCGAGGCGCCAGGCGGCCCCGGCTGCGAGCGGCCCGGCCGGGAGAGGCGCGCTGAGGGACCCGGCGGCCGCCCCCCATCGCCGCCTGCAGGCCGGCCCCGCGGCGGAGGAAAGATGTCTTTCTTCAACTTTCGGAAGATCTTCAAGCTGGGCGGCGAGAAGAAGAAAAAGCAGTACGAGCACGTCAAGAGGGACCTGAACCCGGAGGAGTTCTGGGAGATCATAGGAGAACTGGGCGATGGGGCTTTCGGCAAAGTGTTCAAGGTAAGGGCGAGCTGGGAGCTGAGCGGCGCCTGCCGCCCGGCCGGCGTTGGGGATGCGCTGAGCTCCCGCAGGTGCGCGCCGCGCCCGCCCGGCTGCGAGGGACGGGACGGGACGGAGCTTCCGCGGCGCCCGGAGACTAAAGATAGAAAAGGCCCCGTGAGCTCATCGGCCCGCTGCACCCCGCCCTCCCCGAGCCGTGCGCTTCGCCCGTGTTTTGGTCCCGCGTGCCGGATGGCTTCTGAGCTGTTCGGCTGGAGGGTTCCCGAGTGTGAAGTTGGTGGTGGTTTGTTGTTGTTGTTGTTTGTTTCCAACGTTTCTGTACGGGAGGAAGGCTGTGGATGTAAAAGTGGCTTGTGCCCCCGTGCATTGCTTATAGGGCCGAGCTCATGTTGCTCTTAATGGGCCTTCTCCTATCTTGTTCCTTATGGAACAGAGTTAAAAGGTCGTGTTACCCCGGTGTCCTTGTGTGGCAGAATTTCTGTATTTCCTTATGGCTTTTTTCCTTTGTTTCATCATTAAAGGGGTATTTCCAAGGTTTGTCATGGGAGATTTCTCAAACTAGGCAGTGTGTAATGAAAATAGATTCAATGCTGTAAGTGTTTAGTGAGACCAAAGCTTTCAGACAAACGTTCAGCTAATTATTCTTTCTGAATGGAGACTGCTGCTCCACGTTGGGCTTAGAGATAGCATGGAATAAGTGTCATAGAGGGCGGGCATGAGAGAGCCAGGGAGCTGACAGGGATTGAGACCCCAGAGCAGGTTCTCGAGACAGGAAAAACTGGCATAAGCGTACAGCACTTGCAGTGTTTCTGAAGGCTAATTTGGTCAAGAAACGTTTATTTTTAGAATACTGCACTTGAGAGCTCATGAAATCTGGGTACAGAGCTTGCACTCTGAAAACTTGTGCTATTTTTTGTATGTCTGTTTTAAGTTTTATTGTATCCTGGTGTTACCTGTTTGTATGTTTGGGCAGAAGTGTGTTGGCACTGAGAATTCAAAATGCTGGGTGTTTTTTTTTTCCCCTGGGAGTTTCTGTCTGTATTGCATATTAAGAGCATCTAGTTTATTTTGATGGCTGTGTAAGGCATAGTTTGGGTGTCAGTGTGGAAGATCAAAGATCTCTTTACTAAAATGACTGAAATAAGACTGAAGCTGCTACATCACAAAGCTCAGTGACTTTAAAAGCATAACGTTGTCTCTAAGAGCATTTGCAGAGCGCTCGAGTTTTTTCTTGAAACTTCACATGGAGTTTTGATTCCTTTTCTGTCCCTATTATGCTCTGTGCTATAGAGACGACTGGGGGAGGTTTAGGAAGCAGCACTGTGTTCTCCCCCACCCCCACGTACATTTCCTCTCCTCTCCCTACCCCTCCTCTCTGGGTGTTTGTAGGCCTGTCAGTCTGGGTACCCGGCTATTGGTGAAGGTGTCTGTGCAAGAGAGAGCTTTTACCTTCCAATGCACTTTGTGCACCACAGAACTTTCAAGTTGGGGACTTACATCTGACTGTGAAATGACACAGTGTTAAGTGGTCATCTTGAATTTTTTGAAATTAAATCTTTTTGTGATAGTAAGAATTACTCATGCAGTTACATAGCTAAACTTGGTGAATGCAGCACGTGTGAATGCTGACAGGTATGAATACTCCTACAAAATGTTCCCCTTCAGAAGAAGAGTCCTCCTATATTCGTTTTGCTTCCATCCAGTTTGAGGACAAAGGATTGCAGGCAGGCACTAACTGTACTTGTTTTCCTGCATCTGAGCATGCTTGGCGAGGGACTGTTTCGAAAGCAAGGGTGTGTTATGGTGTTCTTCCTTGGATATACGCCTCTGTTGAGAAACTGCTCTCATAACCTGTTTGATACCTTCTCAAACCTTGAAATCAAAACTGTTACCCGGAACAGAGCTGTCAACTTGGAAAGACTCTGTGCTTAAATAAAGCAAAAAGATAATACTAATGCCAGCTGCACCTGACAAAAGTAAATCTCTTTGTGTATTGTAAAGACTGGAAGCATTCACTGAAACGTGCTTCATGAACGTGCCTCAGTAGCTTAATCATCTCCATTTCCCATTCCTGTAAGTGGTTAATTGGGTATGAATGACTTCTGCCAAAAAAACGGTGGGAGCACTTTTAGCTGCAGCTCAGTGAGGGGAGGTGTGGTCCAGGAGGCTGCTGTGGAGTCATCAGCCAAACAAACAGTGACTGGGTCCTGGATGTCAGAAGAGATTTCAGCTCACTGCCACCTCTCTCTTTCCTTTAGAAGTATAATCAGGTTTAGCTGTTTGGCAGTGTTTTTGTTCTTGTTACTCCCGAACAAGAAAATGAATGGAAACCAGTCTGTCTGTTGGTATGGAGAGGTGTGCTGTGTTCCTTGTTGTAACTCTGTAGATGAGATTCGCAGAGGTGAAAACATCTTTGCAATTAAGATCGTAGGAGTCACTGTGAGGTTATCCTTGCCCTCAGTATTTTAGACACATAGACAATGAAATATATTGTCAGATAGATGAGGCTCTGTATGCGTAAGTTCTAAGTAAGACATATGTGCATGGCTTGTTTTTTTCCTAGATAAGTATTTGGTTTAGCTGTGAAGCTGGCTTTGGGATGGAAGTATCAAATAAATATTTAAATAAAAACTGAAAACTAACTTCTAAGTTACTCCAACACTCTCATGAAGCCCGTCTGATTGTATTGTTGACATTAGACACGCTGTGCCTTGTGAGACTGGGGTTGCATGCACAAGCCTTAAAGGGCACTGAAGGCTTGTGATTTGTTTCCTTCTTCCCAATCAAGTAGGAGAATTGTGCTGACCTTCTAATTTAGCTATTAAAAAAGAGCTTATTTCTTCTGAAGCTGTTCGCGTTTTCTGAGGCTTGCCTAGATCTTGCAGCTCAGGCATTTGTGTTCATCAACTTCTGAATGATGTTTAGAAGTACTGTTACTTAGACCAAAGCCTTTCAACTCTCATTGCATGCCCCTCTTGTGATTGGAGGGGCCACCTCACTGCAGGCTGCCAGTGGCAGAGGCTCACTGCAGTGCAGCACGCAGCATCTGGCCCTTCTCAGCATCTTCAGAGCTTTTCAGACTGTTTTCTTTTGTGGTCTCGGTTAATGAATAATAAGGTATTTTTCATCCTTCATTTTCTGCACACTTACAGTTTTTCATTATGAGGTGATGGCCCTTATAAGGAGAATGTTGAGGTTACTTATTATGGACTTCTTTGTCTTTTTTTAAGTGCAGGTTGTGAATTATTTAGAAGTCTTGGCTGGAGTTTTGGGGTTCTGAAAGCCACTGGAGAAGCAGAGATTTCAGTTTGTATTGGGAGTTGCATATCTATCAAACACTTCATTTTATTTTAAAGATTAGACAATCTTATTTGATAAAGTTTGGGGAGGGAAGGGCAGGTTTAGGCTTCTAACGTTCAAATTAATGGTAATCAGCTTGCTGTGGAAATGAGTTGCATTATTATACCATGTTACATTACTGTGCTTTATATTGGCCTATATGTATCAAATGCCAGTTCAGTGTGTGTAGCAAAGATTGCTTTAAGGTAAATCAGTGTAAGTAACTGTTGAACTGTAGTCGTTCCAAGTAGCCACGTGAAGTCTCATCAGTTTTAAGCTGCTCTCTCACAGGACAGAAGTTCATGTTCTAGTCGTGCAAGAACAGCCCTTCAAAATGCCCAGCGTGCTCTGCAGCTTGCTGAAGCTCCTGGCTGAGGATCTTTATTGTACAGTCACACATAACTAATTAAAGTGGAGATATCTTCATGAGCTAACACTCCAAGAAAAATAAAATGCTTGGACTGTATTTCAGTGAAATCTGGCAGCAGGTTTTTTTTGGTGCTATGAGTGCGGTACACCCCAGTGTAAGAGCACTTGCATTGCAGAGAGACATCAGTTGTGTTTAGTTGGTGTGAGCTCTGAGCCCTTCTCTGAAGATACTCCTCCAGGAAATCTGTGGTCTTTTGGCTGTCGTTATGATAATTATGGGTACCATCTGTACAAATATACTGATTTCAGGTCTTCTGGGGGAACACGCAGAAGCAGAATATATGACAGTACACAATATAAGATACAAAGTACCTATATGTTTATAGGGAAAATGCATGGTATATGTACACACTTCTATGGGCATTCATTTTTATGACAGGGCTCTTCTTAGTTGCTGATTTTGAATTGCATTAATGCTCATTGTTTTGAGTTGGAATATTCTGCCCATTTAGTCTCTCGTTTATTATCCTGAATGTTGGGTGCTGGGAGCATCGTGTGTGCTGGATTCTTCGAGGAATTTGGGAAGCCAGGTATTTCATCTGAAGTTATCAAGGCAGATCCTCCAGCTCTCAGCTGTTAGCCAGCGCTTGGTTAAGAGCTGTCTCTGCTTCCTCTTTAGGCTGCAGCTGAAATGTTTGGAAGCTGGTAGCTGTAATCAGGATGAACAGTGTGACCAAATGAGTTACCTTCTGAAAATTACAGCTACCTTAAGTATTCTATATACTGTACCTGCAAAACCAGGTATACAAACGCAGCTCTGGCTAATGAAAGAGAAGTTTTGAAAATTCTGTTTTTTTTTTTTTAATGAAATAAACTAATGAGGTAGGTTCATTTAAGTTAAGCTTTTGTTTCTGCATTTAAAATAATCTTGCTTTAATTGAACCATATGACTTCTGTGGGAGTTTGCTTTTACCTTACTGTCTTCTGTAGCACCCAGAAACATACAGTTTTTTGAACACTGATTTAATAAATCTGGACCAATTTGGCTGCCTCCTTTAAGCAGCCTTAACTCCTTTTAATGCTTAAAAAATGAGCTGATGAGTGCTGGCTGCTTACAAGTACTTCTTGTCTACATCATAACTTAATTTATAATATTCAAAAATATCAAAATTTGTCTGGCCTGGAAACAAAATGAGGGCAGAGCAAGAGAAGTTATATTTTCTAATCTCAGTGACCTTACAGACATGTTTATCTAAATTACTGCTGCAGTTGTATATTGCTGCTTGAAGTTA